TTTATCGAATAACTCAACTAGCAAATATTGAAAAAGGCCTAAGTCCTAAAGCTTTTCGATAGTTATATATAGCTTGTGTGATTAGTATAGTTGATTATAGATTAGTGATTTGGTGGAGAGGATAAGCTCATTTCAAGGATAAAATACAAGCTCTTCAAATCTAGTTCTCTGAAAGATATTAGGAGTTTTCAAAACCGCTCCAATTCTTCTAATGGAAATCGAATTGGGATTAAAACCAGCAAATATCCGATTAGATTCAAATATCAAGTAATATACTTTTCGATTAATAAAACTCTTACCCAAACATCTAATTAATATCGAAAAAGCTACTCTAATATATCAATACACTAATCGAAAAGCAATCAACACTCCTCAAAAAAAGCTATACAAGCTAATTCAATTTAATAGAATTAGAGAATCAATTGATAAAGAATTTGATTCATTCTCTCTCGAAAAGATTATCCATTTTCATTTCTTTTTATGAAAAAGGAAATCCCTTTCAAAATTAATATTAGCCAGACTTTAAAAGAAAATGTAGTAATACTCTACAATATTATTCTTAAACATAGAGATCAAAATACTATTTACATTTATATAAATACCTTTTCCACTAAAAAAGGAATAGATATTGGTATAAGGATAATATTAATACAATCAAATAATCAGATTTTATATCAAGAACAAGTCAATATTGAAAGCAATCAATTAGTCTATAATAAAAAACTATATAAAGTCATCCGAGTCATCGAATATATTAGCTCAATCATTAATAGTGAAAAGAAGTTCAAGGTTTATTTAGATAATCAAGCAGGCCTTTTTGATTGAAAATACCTTCAGATCACTTAGGGCAAGTATATCAAATTCAAGCAATCAAGATAGCCAAAGCTATTATAACTAAAGGATCTGAAATATCCTTGAATTAAATACCAGAATATATATTAGTTAAAAGAAACAAGTTAGTAAGTAAACTAATAAAAAAAACTAGTATAATATAATTCATTTTAAATGAAATTAATTTTGAATTATTAGAAATAATAATCAAAGAATCCTTTTTTGATTAATGGAGTTCAATTTTCAATTAATATAAACTCAAATCCAATCAACCAGTATTAATTTATTCAAAACTATTTCTATAGAAAATCGGATCGAAAATTAAGCTATTAATTGAAACCAATCGAAATACTGCTAATACACTTTTCCAATTGAAATTAGGTTACAGATATATCAAATCATATCTATATCGATTCAATTATTCCAATAATAAATATATATATAATAATATTGAAATACTACAATATCTCCTGAGTAACTATTCTATATACAAAACAAAAAAAAGAGATATTTCAGAATATATTATTATTGAAAATCACTATACAATTTCTATTATATATCAAAATAAATATCGAATTAGTTATCAAATTTATCAATATCACCAAAATCACTACAAGGGCATAGTATCTAGTAAGAACTTTTGAACAAAAAGTAATAAAAAAAAAGTAATAATAAAAAAGAAAAAAGAAAAAGATAATAAAAAAGAAACAATTAAAGAAATAAAAAAGAGGCTTAATCTCCTCACAATTTCTTAATCATCAGAATTTTCTTATTATATATAATATATATAATAAACAGATATTATTTCTTAATATTTGTTTTCATTTCCCTAATAAAATCATAATCAATATTATAAATCAAAAAATTACCTATTAAGTCCATCGGGCCTAGTTGTCCTATATAGTCTTAGACTGAAGGTGGACGTAAATTCAATCAATCAATCAATCAATCAATCAATCAAGATTTATCATCCCTCACAAACTTTGGCTTGGGTAGTATCAATGATACATCAAAATTACCACTCAGAAACCCCCAAAACTCTAGAAACTTCCCCTATAAATTCTTCAATGTTGAAAGTAGTTATTCAATGAAGTTACAACACATTCTCTTATGTCCGACTAACTAGTCATTCCCATCTCATTATGTCCGGACCTAATGTGATTCGGAACGTCATTAGTCGACCGAAATTCCGAGGCCCCTCTTTTCCTAACCGAATCATGTAGATCTTACCTATTCTGTTTACCTTGAAGTCGACGTGTCAATCTCGATATTATAAATCAAAGTGATTTGAACGGGTGGAATAAAGTTCTAGACTTCTTTTTTAAACTTTAAATCGACATCATATCTCTGGTATATAAATCCCATTTCTCGTGCAATTTGTTGTTATATATCTGTCCATTCCTATTTGTACCCCGCATTTCATCACATCAAACCTTGAACCCAACAAAATGGCAGACAATACACCCACATTTCACCACCTCAATGTAAGTTTTAACCATTCAATTATTCAATGATACCTATTCAAATACTAATAATCAAAGGACTCACAATCTCAACGGATCTTTTGGCTCTTAGAAGAACTTTCCATTCCCTACAATCTCCAACTCCATACCCGCAATCCCATCACCGATCCCAAGGCTCCTTTATCCGCACCACCATCTCTTCAAGCCACTGGTCATTATGGAACAGCTCCTTCGCTCATCACCGGTCCCAAAGATGGAAATCGTTATATCCCCGAATCTCTCGCCATAGCCACTTACCTCATCCGTACTTTCGATTCCGCTGATACCTTTGGTCTCCGTAATGGCGATTGGATCCGTGATGAAATGCTCATTTCTATTACCTTGACTGATTTGGGAAGAGCAGTAAATATCATGTTGCTGCTTGATCTCAATTCTGTAGCTAATGGAGCTGGACCTATGGGGAAACAATTCGATGGACCCGCTTTGAGGAAATCATTGGGAGATTTAGAGAAAGAATTGAAAGAAGGTCCTGAGGGAGGATTTTTCATGGGGAAGAATCCCGGCAGAGCAGATATTATTTTAGAGTTTCCAATGTCGTTGATTAAACAGAGAGGATGGGTAGATTTGGAGAAGGAGTTTCCGGCTTTGGATGAATGGTTAAAGAGGTGTTATGAGAGACCTGCTTGGAAGAGGAGTATTGAGAAAGGAAATGGGTATGATTTTACTACATTTCCACAAAAAGCACATTTGCAAGCGCAATTGTAGATAAATTGGCGAATCGTAAAATATGAAAGGACTTCTCAGCATTTTTTCTTGTGTTATATGTCACATGTATATCACGTGGCGAGCTCCCTATATTTATTTTCGGTGTTACATGGTCTAGATTCTACTCACATGTAGATGCACGATTAAACATATTTGGTATTGGAAGTAGAATGTCGATTATTTTCAACATCCACATTCATAATCAATAGATGATCAATTATTCCATGTAGAAATCTTGATGGGTAGATACAATTCTTTTCTACTTCGACATTTCGGGCTGTAGTCTCATGATGAGAAGTCCTTGATTTCAATAATCTTTCTCACATAAACAATTCATTACTTTATGTACTAGATTTGTGGCATAGTTGATCAAACCAATCAAACTATCTTAAAGCCTTCGTTCCTGGTAAACAAACCAATGTATACAATATTTCATGCTGCCAATTGTTCATACTCTACACTAGCATAAACAAAAGGTCCAGCACCCTTCAAATCATTCTCATCAATAGCAATCGAGGTATAGTACTATCCGAAAGTTAGTCAAATTTCCAACAAAATTTCACACACAAGACAAACCTCAAATGTAGCATTTGATCCCAAACTTCCCACCACAACTGTTCCTTCCCAATTAACAGTACCATTCGTTCCATTAAAGGCGACAAAAGTTTCCGCAAGATATTCATAACCTTTCTTCATTGGTGCAATATATTCACTTCCAAGATATCCCTTTCTAACACCCTTCAAAATCGCATAGATGAACATTGCTGAACCGCTAGATTCGATATAATTTCGTGGTTTGCCTGGATATGGTTCATTCATAACTAACCACCAACCACCTGTTGTATCCTGTGCAGCAGCTACTCCTGCTGATGCAGTAATGAACCAATCAAGAAGCTTTGCATGTCCTTCATGTGATTCAGGGAAGTAATCGAGAACATCGACGAGGGCCATTAAATACCATCCCAATGCTCGATCCCATACATTAGGTGATGCTCCTGTTACAGGATCAGCCCATACTTGAGTTTTACTTTCATCATAACCATGAACGATAAGATTGGTGGTATGATTGCGACAATGTTCTTCAATAAGCGAATATTGCAATAGGATATCATCCCAAGCAGTAACATTTGCGGCATCAAAGTAGGATGTCCATTGAGCATAAAAGACATCAGCCATAAAAATACCATCTAACCACATTTGATTTGGGTATGTAGGTGCACGATGCCAGAATCCTCCAGATGCAGTTCGTGGATTGTAGTTGAATTGTTGACGTAATTTGTCGGCGGCAACTTTATATCGTGTTTCGTTAGTTCGAGCCCATGTATCGAGGATGATGGTTCCAATTCGAATATCATCAAGGGAAGCTGGGTAGGATGGATAACCGAGAATTGATCCATTTGCAGGTACAGCAGTATCCATTTGTGATTTTAACCAATTGATGTATGTTGCGTTTCCGGTGGCATTGTATGCCAGTTCAACACCTCGATAGAAGACTGCTTGAGCATATTGGGCAGTTTTGGGCACCCCCCTTTGAATGAATGAATCAGAAACTAAGGTGGAATACTTGATAGCAGCATCTTCGGCCCTTGAACTAATTACACTTGCTACAGATGCGGATGCATATGCGAAAAGAAGAGAGTACCGCATCTTGATGTGATTATGAGGCGTGAAGAATAAAAAATGGAAAAGAGATAGGAACTTACCAGCTTATATAGTATCGGCATATTCACAAATCATCATCAGATATATTCTTATGCAGATTGACATTGTGCTTATTCACATGTAATCAAGGAACAGGAGATCATTGAGGGGTATAGAGATAATCAAGTCTTGGCCTCACATTCTCATTTTGAGATGTCTTGTTTTCAAAAGTTTCTCCATCGGGTCAGGGTTATGCCGAGAAATGAAATTCGTACTCCTCAGGGTTACTTGCACTTTCATTCGAAGATAAGATCTACTATGATCAGACTTGATGACTTGATGACTTGATGAGGAGAATTCTCCAGCGTACGTGGGATGTGGGGACCCCGGACGTATTAACCTAGTGAAACGCGGAGAAATGGCTAGATGAAGAACGTATTAGCCGGAAGGATCAAGCTATCAAAAGCGATAAATACTCTCATTTAGCTTGAATTAATGATTGAACAAAGATATAAAAAGGAGGAACATACACAATCTGCAATAGAACAAAAACATGTTGTTGGGCATATCAGATCTACCTAAAACTCTCCGACCGATACACCCCAAGAACTCTTGACAAGCAATATATGTTTGTACGAAGTATGTGAGTTTTGAAGTCGTCAGACCTAGAACACAAACTCAAGAAAGTCAAATATACGAAATCAGACCCAAGCCACAACTCGAAAGAATCATATATATAACATCAGAGCTTGGCCGAACATCGTTTCATACTAAGAGTGGTGGACGAACTTCAACAGAACATTGCAGCCAAGAAAAAGGTAAGATGAGAGTGGCTGGAGTGGGTAAGTTGATGGGAGAAACATCAGCACTTTTGTCCCAATATGATAAATTCTCTCGGTTCATTTCTAATTGTTTTCGATTGAGATAGTCCATGATAAGTAACTGTTATTCCAAAAGCTTGGAAAAGTGCCTATCAAGTACTCTTTCGTAGAATTGTTTCTGATGGAATAAACGCCAATATTTCCCGTTATGTATACCGTCGGTCAAATCTATCAACCCCATCCCACTGAAAATCCCCAAGAGCCATCGAAAGTTTCATCCTCATCCTTCAATGGTCGTAAACATCCCAAGTCCCACGACTTATCCTTCATCTTCTGTAAACAATGAAATCGTGGGACTTGATTTGGGGCGTAGAATCTTAGTAGCATTTCCATATCTTCTTCGTTCATCGCATGTAGGTCTTCCAAACTATAAGCGTCGCTAACTTTGATCATCCTGCTTGTTATAAGTATGGTGGCAAAATCATTGTCGAGAAATGCTTACCATGCCATCCTCTTTGGTCCTTCTTCTGGTCCTGGTGCAACCTTCCTGAGCATCTGCCTCAACTTTCCAACCTTCTCTATCCCTTCTCCAATTTTGTCTGGTAAATTCGAAGCAATTTGTCTCCTTACAATATTGGCAAATCGTGGACCTTTCCCATTTGTGCTAACCATGATTTGTAAAGGACCATCTCGATGAACACTTCCAAAGTAGAAGTCACATTCAGGGGGCACATCTGCAATGTTCGCTGCTATTTTCCTTTCTTTACATAACTTCCATATCTGTGAAGATGCTTCCGGGTCATCGACGGCAGTCAATACCATGTCAACATTGTCGAGATCGGATGGTTCGAACTTTCTATCCACAAAGTCGACTTGTCCCTCTTGTACTCGATATGCGACTTCGGGGTTGAGACCTTCTCGAGGTGATACAACAGTGACCTTTGCATCTGCATTTAAAACGTTCAAGATTCGACCTGCCGCAACCTTTCAAATGATGAGTACGGAAGAATGATGATGGAAAGGAGTTTTTTTACCTCTCCGCCTCCAACGACTAGTACCCGTTTATTCTTGATTTGCCATGCCAGTATCAATGATCCGCCACCCTCAACTTTTGGAAAATTTTCTTCACCCATCGGTATTGACATTAAAATATTGGATGTTGTGCATAATAACCAATTCTTTATTGGATATAATTCTGTGCTTTATTGTAGATGTGAATGCTTATCGTTGATGACATTTCCGATAAGCAAATGGAATTCGGTACAGTACCGATAAGGCACAGTCAGAGAGCTTCGCTTACTCAAGACATTCGAAACCACCATCACAGAATGAACAAGGCGGAGGGAAAGCCTTGGAAAGCCTTGAAGACAGAGAACCTTTAAATAAATCAATGTCTTGAATTGGTGAGGATCCGAGGTAAAATCCCTCACAATTTTGATATCTTTACGATCATGTCCAGCAGAAAGCTGGGAGGTGGGAGGATTTTGGGTAGTGGGAAGTCATTGGCACCTCCTACCCCTCCGACGCAACAACGAAGTTCCAGTTTCATTCCCCCTTCAGAAAGTACTCTTTCGTTAAGTTCGACTCATTCAATATCTCCTCTTGCGACTTCGCCATTACCAAACGATAGTCAGGATTTAAGGTCGAGAGTTTCGCTGGAAAATGGTCGCTCTTCAAGTGTCACCGCTGTGACCTCGAAGCTCCTCTGTCCAATATGTAGCGAAGAAATGGTAGGCTAGCCCCTTGATATATTTTAATGCGAGAGCAATAATAATGTTTGGCAGATGACCTTATTGCAATTAAACCGGTATGCCACTTGTATTTCGAAAGTTGGAAAGGAAACTCACTCTCAATAGACATCTCGATGATAATCACCAAGAACTTCCAGAGGTAGAACAAGACGAAGTGAAGAATTGGTTCGACAAACAGGTTATCAAGGCAAAAAAGTTCCAACCATTGGCAGTCATAAATCAAAAACTCAAGGGACTAGATGTATTCGAATCAAATGATGTATCAACATCATCGACTCCTATACCAAGTACACTTTCTGGAAATCGCATGTCAACCCCCGAGCCAACAAGACCAGATCCCGACGAAGTAATTACAAGGACACATTGGCAGAAATCAGGATTCAATGATATATGTACGGAACCTGTTTGCGGGAAAAGACTTGGTGCTGTCAATGGAACTGTTAATTGTAGGAAATGCGGTCTTCTGTTCTGTGAGGATCACACGATGTACCAAATCAAACTCTCGAGGTCGGCACAACATGAACCTGTAAGGGGATTATGGTGTAGAGTTTGCGAGACTTGTTTCAAGTCAAGAGAAGGATATAATGATCATAATGGTTATTTGCGAGATCACACAAACGACTTTATGGCAATGAGAAGGAAGCATGTGGATAAAGCATATTTGGAGATCTCGAGGTTAGAGAAACGACTTACTAAATTAACTCAACTACTTGCGAATCCACCCGAAGATCTGGCCAGTAATGGGACATTGTTATCTTTAGCAGGACAGAAGAATCCGCGCAAAATACTTGAACAATCAGTGGTAACTTGGGAAGAGGATGCAAAAGTTCCAAAATGTCCTTTTTGTCAACAAGAATTTGGTTCATGGTCATTTCGACGGCATCACTGTCGATTATGTGGACGAGTCGTCTGCTCAGATCCTAGAACTGGATGTTCCTCTGAAATTGGATTAAATGTTACAGCACGTAAGTTTTTAACTTTTTCGATATTCCCAACATTTCCCTATATTTTCAGTGTCATTCATTGACATATTCCAGTGACTGACATTCAGTCAGAAAAACATTCGGAGAATATAAGTCTCGATATACGGATGTGTCGCGATTGTAAAATCACAGTCTTTTCCAAGAAAGATTTTGCTGCAGAAATCAAGGAGAAGACACCATTACAACGGGCTTATGAAAATCTTCTACAATTCGAAAAGGGCATTCGTCTATTACTACCCAATTTCCAACGATTATTAGTTGCACTTCAAGATCCAGAAAAACCACCATCACATGTTCAACTTGCTGAAGCAGCTAAAGTTCGAAAGAGATTAATAGATAGTTTCGGAAAATATGATCAAGCTGGAAGACGCATACGTGACTTACCAACCACATCACCTACTCAACAAAAGATTCAAAAATCAATCTATCAACAATCTTCTAGTTTCCTTCATCTCCATATGCTTCCTCTTAAATCTCTCCCCAAAGTTCTCAAACATGCTACTCCCTCTTCAAGTCACTCATCTTTAAGACCTCAAAATGGTCGTTCCGCCCTCTCAAATATCAAATTCAACGATACAGCTACAGAAACATCGTCACAAGTTTCGGATATTTCCCAAATATCTCAAATGGAACAGGAGGAAAAGGAATTACGAGAAAAATTAATAGTTTTAGAAGAACAGAAATTTTTCGTTGAAGGAATGGTAAAAGATGCGGGGAAGAGAAGAAAGTTTGATGAGGTGGAGGCATTAAAAGCAAATTTGCAGGATGTGCAGAGAGAGATTGATACGGTTATGGGGTGCATTGGACAATTAGATTTTGAAGGAGTCTATAGGAGAGAGATGGATGCTGGTGGGAGTGGAAGTGGAAGTGGAAGTGGAAGTGGGAATGGTGTTTTGGGTTTAGGGTGAACGAATAGATGGGGTTGAGCTGGATATCGAAAATTGTGCACTTGAACCTTGGAGCAAGAAGGAATTATCGCACTTAATTACATACGATACGCACTTTTACTTACATACCATATCGATCGATGCATTGCTAGGCGTTGGATATATTATATGGGACTGGGTGGCTTGGGTAACTCGAGTGAGTACTATGGGATGGAATCACAAGTCATGGGTGGATGGTGTTTGGAAAGGGGTTTTAGGTTCAACTAGCTAGGTGTTGTTAGGATTGGTTAGGATTCATTATCATATGTATATTAATACATATGTAATCGTATTACTTGAGTATGGAAAGAGTGTGGAGATCCACGGATATTGATCGATTGTTGCTTGCTTGCTTGCTTGCTTGCTTGCTTGCTAGCCTGTCTGTCTGCCTGCCTGCCTGCTTACTTCAAACAAAATGTGAGCTCATTGAAAGTAATAATTTGTGAAATGAAGTATAACTCAGAACCAGCCAAAAAATATCAACAATGGCTTTTCCAAGGTTTCTTCGGCTTATATTGTAATCGCAAATATCAGTGTCAATCATTCAAATCAAGTCTCACATAAAAAGCATACTACGACGAATCGTTGATTTGATTATCGTACAAGGAGTTACATGGGGGAATCTCTTTTCTTCTTTCTTTCATCGGTATCATCAGCCTACACATCAACTAACCTCCCTAAACATTCCATTCCAGCCAGTTCTAATCCTGTCCTAGCCCCCGAATTCATATCACATCACATCACATCAATTCTATAGCAACAACTCCAAAGGATTTTCAACAACCTTCTTGAACTCCTTCATCCATTCAGCACCAACAGCACCATCAACAACCTTATGGTCGAAGCTTCCAGTAACAGTAATTTGATCATCCCATTCAATTCCTCCATCTGCACCTTGGATAGCTGCCTTTTGAGTGGTTCCTACAGCGAGAATGGCGGCTTGAGGTGGGTTGATGACAGCAGTGAATCGATCAATAGCGCTGTTCATTCCCATGTTGCTGATGGTGAAAGTTCCACCTTGATATTCATCCGGCTTGAGTTTACCATCACGAGCACGTTTGCCAAGGTCCTTGACTTGTGCTGAAATGGATTCGAGACCGAGTCCTTCGACATTCTTGACAATTGGGGTCATGAGACCAACTGGAGTGGCAACGGCAACCTGAGAAGAAATTTTAGTAATTTATAGTGAACTTGTAGGAGGAAAAGAACTTACGCTGACATCAACGTTGCTGAATTGACGGATGAAACCATCTCTCCAACTTGAGTTGACAGCTGGAACCTTCTTGCATGCAATAGCACATGCCTTGATCAAGAAGTCATTGATTGAGAGCTTATATTTCCCTTCTCCGGAAGCATTAAGAGCTGTGCGGAGCTTGATGAGCTTGGAGACGGAAACAGTAGAGGCGACAAAGTAGTGGGGGTTTTGGTTCACAGACTCGGTAAGACGGTTGGCGATAGTCTTACGCATAGATGTGATAGGAGTGTCGACGTAGCTGGCAGTAGCAGCAGCTGGTGCGCCACTGCTTGAAGCTCCAGAAGAAGCCTTCTTGACATCAGCCTCAGTAACTTGTCCACCGAGTCCAGTACCCTTGACACCAGTAATCTTAACACCGGTATCAATTGCCAATTTAATAGCCGCAGAGCTAGCATTGATTGCTCTATCCATAGCAGGTTGTAATCTTCCACCACTTGAAGCGGATTCCTCCGGAGCTGGGGTCGATTCGGTTGGGGGAGGGGGAGCAGTTCCAGATTGTGTATCAGATTTCTCAGAAGATTGACTGGCTTCCTCCTTTGGTGGTGGTGGTGCAGAATTCTCTCCTCCTGCATCTGCGAGTGTGAAATCCGCGAAAGCCGATGTATCCTCTCCTTCTCCAACCATAACGGCAATTGGCTATTTTACCGTCAGCACTCGAACCTTTCTATAGCTTGAAGTAGTACAAACATTTCCAACAGCAACATCCTTCTCTCCAGATTGCTTCAAGATGGCAGCCAAAACACCTTCCTCTTGGAACTCAAAGTCCATTTGCGCCTTATCGGTCTCAATCTCTACCAATACATCACCAGGAACAATTGCATCTCCCGGCTTCTTTTGCCACGATCCAATGTTACCTGAAGTCATGGTTGGCGATAAAGCTGGCATAGTGACTACGGTATGGGGAGGGAAAGATTTCGAGGCATAACATCTTGCTAATTGATATGGCAGAGATGGTGATTGAAGGGCACGCTTCCTCAACACTGCGGAAAACATCTTGATGGGAATATCTAGAGGAAAAGAGGAACGAAAGCACTAAAGTTAAAGGAGTGAAGAGAACCCAAATCAGTATCCAGACAAATAAAAGTCTTTGGATATTGTGAATCCGGTATTGTAGGATCAGGGCGGGAAGATGGGTGGTAAATGTTTGGGGTGGAGTGGGAGGAAGTTATTCGCGACAAAAACACAGATTTAAATTGTTCTGTTGAATATCGGAAAACCTCGTAGGTTGAGTTCCGTTGGCAGACCGGAGCTCCTTGGGATTAGTACAAAAGTAGTATAGTGGTAGAGTATGCGTAGA